CCTTTTAGGGTTGGCTCAGTGAGGTCTCACTGTTAGAACTTCAGCTTCTTCCAACTCTGTGGGACTCTGGGACATGTTTGACTGACAGCCCTCAGTAACTCTTCTTTCCTTGGCTCCTGCAGTCTCACCTCAACCTACCAATAAAAATTCAGCCTACCACTCAAGAGAACCTTTTTTATGGGTTTCTGTAACTCTTCTTTTAACTGTAAAGTTCAGCAACCACAGTTTCCTGAACATCAGTCAGTGTTACCATCTTAACAAAATGGAGGTAATGGGAGTCCTTTAGGTCTAGAAAATGCCTTTGGGCAGCAAGTGTGGATGTTCCTGGGATGCACCTCACTAGCATCTTTGAGGGATTACTCTTGTATTGGGGCCAGGGGAGTAAGTAGAACTGGTACTAGTTATTCAAGATGGCCAGAAACAGAAATCCTAAAAGAAGTGTGAGGGCTTATTTATAAGTCTGTCTCTTTAGTTCTTTCATAATTAATTTGATCTTTAATGATTTCTTATTGTTTCCCTTTCTATAGCTTGATTTATTATGATTTCTTATTAGAAAAAATATTTGAGGCTATACATTTTTTCCTAACATATCTTTAAAAAGATATTTCCCAGAGGTTCTGACATGCAGTATTTTTGTGGTTGTTATTCTCTAGACATTTTGTACCCATTTTGTTTTGACTTTCTTTCTGACTAAGAATTGTGACCCAGAGACAGGAGTAGTCCCAAGTCTTCTCGGTTATGTCCCCAACACCAAAACTGAAATCCGCCCCCCCCGCAAGAAATTGAATCTGAGCATTAAAAAAAAATCTTAAAATTACAATATACACTGTATGTGTGTATTTACTCTGAATATTGACATAAAATTTTCTCTTAAAACAGATTTAGTGCAAAGAATAAGGCAAAAAATTTCACCTACCTAAGACAACCTCAGAGGTCACTAGAATGTATAAAGCACGAATACAGAATGATCTCTAAATAGAATTAGCATCAAAATCACTAAACTACCTTTTCCCTTTACTTTTTACTTTTTATTTCTTTTCTCCACCCCCCCATACACAATATGCTAATAAAAATATAGTTTATCTTAGTCAGGTATCTATTGTCTATTATCAGCAAATGATAGCACATTAAATCGTCTTTAATTGGCTTTAGGAAATGCAAAGGTGAAATGAGAATTTAATTCTTCCAGACCTTAGTTCAAAATGCATTTTTCCCTTCTCTACTATAAGAAGCAAATTTTAATTAGCTTGATTCTCACTGTTTGGTCATGCATTTGTAATCTTTGTTCACACTTTGGGGGAAAAAAAGTTGATGAAAAGAATTGGATAATAATGGAAATCTTGTCTGAGCAGAACAAATTGACATTATCAAATATATTATAGGAAGCCTGACATGCAGAGCTAAGGAGGAGAAGCATCAGGGCAGACAACTGGAAAGGCTGATGACACCCTTAGATGTCAGTGCTGAGCCTGGCACAGGCTTATCCTGCCTGGAGAAAAAGCACCTCAGAGTGGAAAGTGCTTTGTGGCAGAGGTGGGAGATAGCTCAAATGGCACAAACCTATCAAGTGTGAGGTCCTGAGTCCCACCCTGCAGTTGGGCATCCCCCAGGGCACACAGAGAAGAGTCTTGTTGATCTCTGAGCTCTGACTAGCCCTTCAACTTGCAGTAAACCTAGTAGGACTAGTACACTTAGTAGGAGTAGGTTTCTCTGCAAAAACTTGGTCAAATAACACACAAGGAGAAGTGAGGAGGGCAGTTGTGGAGAGGGAGAGAAAAGAGTTCTTAGTCTAGCAGTTTGTGATTTAACAGAAAAAAGAGCTACACAGGATGCCAATTGTAAAGATCTAATGGCTGCAGAGCATCTACCTACCCACCTACACACACACACACACACACACACACACACACACCATTACATCGAGTCAAAAACAGAAAAAAAAACCAGATTCCTCTGAGTTTAGCTCAGAGAGACTTTATTCCTTATCATAACCTGAGTGCAACATCCAGGACTCTGAAGCCTAATGTGCTCTCAGAATTTGCCCTCTGTTTGGAACATGGTCTCAAAGGACATTTGCTTGCAGTATCTGGAGACAGCTTTTGCCTTTCCCTATGGAGTGGGGAGAACAAACATCCTAGGGGTGAGGTCAGAGCTTTTAATAGTACAGTGGGTCGGGTGCTTGCCTTGCACATGGCTGACTCCAGTTCAATCCTTGGCACCTCATGTGCCAGGAATAAATCCTGAGTGCAGAGCCAGGAGTAACCCCTGAGGATTGCCATGTGACACACACACAAATAAAAACCTCACAAAAGCATCTTAGGGTGCAGAGGACATGTCCCGCCCTACCTCTTCTCTCCTCACCTCTCCCATCTGGAATTCAAAAGCTGTGCCCTCTTGATTAATATCCAGGATATACAAGACAGTAGACAGTAGTAGAATTGTATAAGAAAAAAACCTCCAATCCCATCAAAAAAAGGGGAGAAGAAATGAACAGACGCTTCCTCAAAAAAGAAATACAAATGGCCAAAAGACACATGAAAAAATGCTCCACATGTCTAATCATCAGGGAGATGCAAATCAAAACAACAATGAGATATCATCTCACACCACAGACACTGGCACACATTCCAAAGAACAAAAGCAACCAGTGTTGGTTGGTGGGTGTGGATGTGGGGAAAAAGGGACTCTCTTTCACTGTTGGTGGGAATGCTGACTGGTCCAGTCTTTTTGGAATGTAATATGGGTATTCCCTCAAAAACTAGAAATTGAGTTTCCATATGACTCAGCAATACCACTTTTGGGAATATATCCTGAGGGTGCAAAAAACAACAGCAGAAATGACATCTGCCACTGTATGTTTATTGCAGCACTGTTCACAATAGCCAGAATCTGGAAACTATCCAAGTGCTAGAGGACAAACGACTTGTTAAAGAAACTTTAGTACATCTTCACAATGGAATACTATGGAGCTGTTAGGAGAGATGAAGTCATGAAATTGTCTTGTAAGTGGATGGACATGGAGAGTATCATGCTAAGTGAAATAAATGAGTCACACAGACAGAGAAACAGACATAGAAGGACTACACTCATTTGTGGAATATAAAACAACATATGAGACGGATACCCAAGGACAGAAGACACAAGGGCCAGGAATATTGGCCCATAGTTGGAAGCCTGTCTTGTGAGCTGAAGAAGAAGGCAGCTGGAATCGAGAAAGGATCACTAAGACAAAGATGGTTGGAGGAATCATTCTAGATGGGAGATATGTGTTGAAAGTAGATAAAGGACCAAATGTGATAACCTCTCAGTATCTGTACTGCAAACCACAATGCCCCAAAGTAGAGATTATGGGGGAAATTATCTGCCATGGAGGCAGGGAGAGGGTTGAAAGGGGGGGGGGGGGTATACTGGGGACATTAGTGGTGGAGAACGCGTGCACTGGTGGAGGGATGGGTGTTTGATCATTGTATGATTGAAACTCAAACATGAAAGCTTTGTAACTGTATCTCACGGTGATTCAAAAAGAAAGAAAGGAAGGAAGGAAGGAAGGAAGGAAGGAAGGAAGGAAGGTAAAGGAAGGAAGGAAGGAAGGAAGGAAGGTAAAGGAAGGAAGGAAGGAAGGTAAAGGAAGGAAGGAAGGTAAAGGAAGGAAGGAAGGAAGGAAGGAAGGAAGGAAGGAAGGAAGGAAGGAAGGAAGGAAGGAAGGAAGGGAGGAAGGAAGATAAAGGAAGGAAGGAAGGAAGGGAGGAAGGAAGGAAGGAAGGAAGGAAGGAAGAAAGGAAAGAAAGATAGCTTTTAAAAAAGGGCCCTTTTAGTGATTTCCTGTCTCTCCAGATGCAGGGTGAGAAAACTGATCTGCAATGCCACGTCTACCACAGCCCGCTCAGAACGGCCCAGGTCCTCCAACTGCAGCGGCCCTCGAGGTCCTGTCCTCAGCTCCCTCTGGAAGCCACATCTCCCACCGGGGGGGCTGCAGAACTTGGCATCCTCTTCCACAGCAGGTCCTCAATGACCATTTCTGCTGTCGCCGGGAGCGCTCTCGGGGTCCCTCTGCAGGCAGCGAGCCTTGGAGCCCTCTGAGCAGAACTCCGCGAGCCTCGGGCCTTGGTGGGCCCCCTTCCCGGGGATCCGATCAGCTAGCTCGCTTGGGACTTGACGTCCTGCGCCAGGGGGCTCCTCCAGGCAGCACACAGCACAAACGTTCTCTTGCAAACACCCGACGACTCCCGGCCTTGGCTCCTCCACGGCGGCCCCGACCAAGATGCAGGCGGTTGGCGTGTCCTCCCGTCCCCAAACAGCCAGAGGTCCCATCTTTGAAGGGACCCTCCCCCACTACCCCGAGCAGCTGCGAAAGTGGGGACTGGGAGGAGGGAGGGGCGCGGGGGAGGGGTGCGGAAGAAGGGCAGTTTATCCTTGCCAGCCCTGGCCAGGTTTCCAAGTCCAGGTGCAGCCTCCAGCTCCCCTCCCGCCCCGTGCACCCCTGGAAGAAGCTGCGCCTGTCTGTCCCCTAGACGGCGACCTCTGGCTCAGCCACGCGGGGCAGCAGCCAAGGTGGGGTACCCCGATCCGGGTAGGTACCCATCTGGTTCCCCAGGGGTTCGTGCGCTTAGTCTAAATCCGCCCCCGGGCTGGCTCTGCGGTCGGGCCACTGAGCTGCCGGGACGGTTAATGATTAATCACTGCTCAGCCCGCCTCCAGCAGCCCAGAGGGGGTGCGCCCTGGGGTGCTCCGGGCAGACCAAAGCCAGGCAGCGGCGGGGCGCGCGCGCGCGCGCAGGGCTGCACTGGTGCGTTCCGGGTCAGGGCGCAGAGGACCAGGGGCTTTGGGTCCGGCTGCTGCAAGCTCGCTCCCTGCCGGTGGGAGCTTGGAACCTCCCGGCTCCGCTCTCCTCCCGCCTCTCAACACACCGAACCTCCAAAGCCAGGCGCCCAGACCAGAACTGGGTTTGCCCCGGGAGCTCGAGCTGCTCCAGGAAGTTTGCATGCAAGTTGCAGTTGGAGGGCGAGCGAGCTCCGGAGGAAGGTCAGGGCGCGCGCGCTGGCGCTGGTGAGTGGCGGGTGCGACTCTTGGGTTGCTGCGGCTGGAGGAAGGGGAAGGTGACCAGGCCTTTGGCCCCGTGGCCTGGCTCTCTAGACGCTCATGGCTGTTCAGGGCGGTGCTGCTGCGGACTGCTCCTCTGTCATCGATCACAGCCATGTGCCCAACTTCGAGGTGTCCACGTGGATCAAGATCACCCTCATCCTCGTGTACCTGCTCATCTTCGTGGTGGGCATCGTGGGCAACAGCGTCACCATTCGGGTGACCCAGGTGCTGCAGAAGAAGGGTTACCTGCAGAAGGAGGTGACGGATCACATGGTGAGCCTGGCTTGCTCGGACATCCTGGTCTTCCTCATCGGCATGCCCGCGGAGTTCTATAGCATCATCTGGAACCCCCTGACCACGCCCAGCTACACCCTGTCCTGCAAGCTTCACACGTTCCTCTTCGAGGCGTGCAGCTATGCCACCCTCTTGCACGTGCTGACGCTCAGCTTCGAGCGCTACGTGGCCATCTGCCACCCGTTCAGGTACAAGGCCATGTCTGGGCCCTGCCAGGTGAAGCTGCTGATCGGCTTCGTCTGGGTCACCTCCGTCCTGGTGGCCTTGCCTCTGCTTTTCGCCATGGGGGTGGAGTACCCCCTGTTGCGCGTGCCCAGCCACCGGAGTCTCCCTTGCAACCACACCCGCACCCGCCACCACGAGCAGCCCGAGAAGTCCAATATGTCCATCTGTACCAGCCTCTCCAGCCGCTGGACCATATTCCAGTCCAGCATCTTCGGCGCCTTCATCATTTACCTGGTGGTCCTCGTCTTGGTGGCCTTCATGTGCTGGAGTATGATGCAGGTGCTCAAGGGCAGCAGGCAAGGCACCGTGTCCGGGAAGGAGCAGCAGCTGAGGAAATCAGAGAGTGAGGAGACCCGGGCATCGCGGAGACAGATCATCATCTTCCTCAGTGAGTTCTAGGGACTGGGGGGAAACCCGGGGCTCCCAGCCGGGGTCCCCTAGCCAAGGTCTGGGTTCCTCATGTCTTGCCTTGAAAGTGTAAACTTCAGCCCATTGAAGCTGATGGGTGTCTGGATGTTTCTGCTCTGTTTGGGGTCGTGTGGGTCACGTTGCAAAGAGACTAGAGCAGGAATCAGAGGTCTGGAGACATTCCAGAGCCGCACCTCTGTGATTGCTGCAGGTCACAGAACTTCTTGAAAAGGACCAAATGCTCTGGAGATGAAAGGAACGTTCTTTTGTTTGGGCCACATCTGGGCTGTATTCAGGGCTTACTCCGGACTGTGCGCTCAGGAATCATTCCTGATAGGCTCAGGGGACAATATGGGATGTTGGGGATCAAATCCTGGTGGGCCGTTCGGAAGGCAAACATGTTACCCACTTTTCTCTCCCAGCTCCCCATTTGTGAGCATTCTTATCGGCTGCCTTCTTTATCATACTGCATAACTCTTCTTAGACAATTAGACTTTTTTTTCTTCTCCTCTGCAAAGCAAGGCTCGGCGGGGCACATTATCTTCAAGCCGCAATTTTATTCCCTGTGTCTCCTACCCGATTCTTAAGAAATTGGCTTAAGAATTTCTAAGCTTGGGGCTGGAGCAATAGCACAGCAGGTAGGGCATTTGCCTTGCATATGGCTGACCCGGGTTCGATTATTCCCAGCATCTCATATGGGCCCCCGAGCACTGCCGGGAGTAAATTCTAAGTGCATGAACCAGGAGTAACCCCTGTACATCGCCGGGTGTGACCCAAAAAAAGCAAAAAAAAAAAAAAAAACCACACACACACACACACACAAACAAACAAAGAATTTCTAAGCTTAAGAATTCATCTAAGCCATGCAGGGTACAGCTGGGTTTTCCTCTGGGGTGGGTCTGTTTCCTGTGGGAGCAGACAAATGTGTCAGGGCCGGTGGGCCTATCGGTCTGATACAGAAAATGTGTCTTCCCTGATGCCTTGTCTTGATGGATCACCCCAAGTCCCTGATCCCCAAGCAGAGAAAGCTCTTTGCTTTCCAAACTATGGGTTTGGGTTTAAAATTCCTAAGGAAGTTACTTCCTTCCCTCCCTTCCTCAACATCTTTCCCTCCTTCCCTCCCTTCTTTCCTGCTTTCCTTTCATCCATTCTTTCCTCTTCTTCCTTTCTTCTCTTTTATTATTTTCTTGGAGCAAGACAGTTTATATAGAAACTTATTTAGAATAATTTCCAAACCATACAAGGATTTAAAGTCAGGTCGATCTCTGTGTTAGAAAGTCTGGATAGAACCACAAACCTTCCAAAGGGAGATCTGGTGGCTGCCTTCTGGGAAAAGGGACTTTAATGAAGACACTATAAATTGTGAGTAATAAAGGCATTTTTTTAAAAAAGTATTTTTAGGGGTCGATGGGGCTGGAGCGATAGCACAGCGGGTAATTTGCCTTGCTTGCAGCCGACATGGCCGACCAGATTCGACTCCTTTGCCCCTCTCGGAGAGCCTGGAAAGCTACCGAGAGTATCTCGCTTGCAGGGCAAAGCCTGGCAAGCTCCCCATGACATATTCGATATGCCAAACACAGTAACAACAAGTCTCACGATGAAGACGTTACTGGGCCCACACGCGCAAATTGATAAACAGCAGGAGGACAGTGACAGTGACAGTTAAAATAAAAGTATTTTTAGGGGTGGATGGGGCTGGAGCGATAGCACAGTGAGTAGGGCATTTGCCTTGCACGCGGCCGACCCTGGTTCGATTCCTCCGCCCCTCTTGGAGAGCCCGGGAAGCTGCCGAGAGTATCTCCCTGCACAGCAAAGCCTGGCAAGCTCCCTGTGACGTATTTGATGTGCCAAACAAAGTAACAAGTCTTACAATGTTACTGGGCCCACTCCAGTAAATCAATGAGCAATGGGAGGACAGTGATAGTGACGGGGGCAGGGAGGTTGCGGGGAATGAATTGTGAATGGGAGTAGGTATTGCGGGTTCGCGAGTCAAGAGAAATGTGGTATGAGAAATGTTTTGCCCTTGCCCCTCTCCCAAGCCTAGTGTGGACTCAGGAGAAGCATCAGGTCATGCTGCTGTTTGTTTTGGTGTGTGAAAACTGAGCCAGAGGTTCTGGGTTCAGAGTTATAGGAGGGGAAATATGAAGGCACTTGAGAGTCAGAAAGAATAGTGTTATCCCAGCCCCACCCTTGGCTTCTGGGCTGTGGGTACAGCTGAATTGACTTTACGTTGTGCCTGAAGAAAATGAGAAGGGAATTTGCTGTTTTTAGACTCTGGCTCCACATGAAGCATCCTGTGAGATGATTTCTATTTCCATTTCATAGAGGAGAAATTTGAGACTTGGAAAGAAGAGAAGGTCAAGTGCAAACGCACCTAGAGTGCAGCTCCCAGATTGATTATCATGGGCACATGTTGAATGGAAAATGGGATAGGGCAGGAATTTGACAAGGAGAATGCCACCTAGGTTAGATGGGTAGTTGTTGCTTTCTCTGAGGGCCAACCTTGAAAGTTGGAGTCGTGAGTTTATAGTGGTAACTATATCTAGGTTATTGGAAAGAAAACCCGCAACTCCATTGCTGACTCCATTGCTGCTGCCCTAGTTGTCCAAGAAAGAATGAGCGCTGCATTTGTTTGAATATCGATTGAAAAGTTCATTCACCCTTCTTATATCTTTAAGCATCGTTTGAAAGTTTAACGGCAATTTGTATCTCGGTTTAAGTTCAGTCCTTTCTTTTATCTTTCCTTCCCTCCCTTCCTCACATCTTCCCTTCTCCTTTCCTTCCTTTCCTTTCATCCCTTCTTTCTTTTCATTCTTTCTCCCCCCCCCCCTTTTGTTCCTTTATTATGTTTGGAAGCAAGATAATTTTTATAGAAACTGACTCAGAAAAATGGGAGAGAGGAAGTAGAGAGAGAACACAACCTTGAAAGAGCGAGCAAGCAAAGAGATACAGACAAGCAAGGGAGAACATGGACTTGAAGAGCAAACCCCTTTCTTTCCTTTTCTTATGGGACATAGGTCAGAGTGGATAAGAATTAGGAAGTAGACAATTAATAAGTGATCTCCAACCACCTCTCAGTAAAATTCAAGAGATAGAGCTGCATCATTTTAAGGCCAGAAAAATAAGACTGCATCTTTTTTCATAGGGGTTGGGGAGGGGTCAGGGAATACCTGAGCAGTGCTCTGAGAGATCTCTTCCAGTGATACTGGGATAGCTGTGCTGAAGGGTTCAATGCTAGAGCCCTGTAGTGCCATTCTGGTTCATTGGTGCTCAACGGCCCCCAGGACTATTCCTACTCTACAGCTATACCCACCAAATGGTGCTTAACAGGGGGTCATATAGTACTAGGATCAAACTTAAGCCTGGCCCTTAAGTGTAGTCCAGCCCCAGCCAGTCTGGCTATCTCTTTTGTTCCATCTTTTGTTTTTGTATTTGTTTTTGTTCTTGCTTTTTGGGTCACACCCAGCTATGCTCAGGGGTTACCCTGGGCTCTGCACTCAGGAATTGCTCTTGGCAGTGTGTAGGGGACCATATGGAATGCTGGGGATTGAACTAAGGTTGGCCACGTGCAAGGCAAATGCCCTACCCCCTGTACTATCACTCCGGCCCTGTTACATCTTTTGATTAAGGGGCAAAGAACTGTTTCCTCTTGGGTCTCTATTGAATCAATCTCTGGTTGAATTTGTGGGTTTTAATATTTTTATCGATTTCTTTCTGCATAGATATCTCTTCTCCCAGTTGGCATTGTTCCAAGTTAAATTCAGTCTCCTTAAATCAAAATGCCACAGATTTCGATTTAATGTTGGATAGCACCTTGAAGATCACCTCCCCCAATTAGTGATCTCCCTCCCACTGCTGCTCTTGTTCTCTCCTTCTTTCTTGTAACAAGCGGTATTAATCACCCACTGAGCTCAGGCACAAAGATTGCTGAATGGCAATCAGGTGCTCAATGTGTGAGAATGTCTTGGGGGAATTTACCATTGGTGTTTAACCCATTTCCTCTGCAGTAGGTTTTCCAAAGTAGTTCCAGCAAATGTTCCTCTCTCCCAATAACTTTCAAGAGCTTTTAAAAATAGGAAGCTCACTAATTAACTCAAGTTAGGAAATAAGTTAATGAAGTGAAGAAGAGAAAATCGTGGCCTGCATCCATCAGCGTAATACAGTGCAATTTACTTTGAGGGTTTCATAAAACTTTTGCTTTGGGGCATTTTTAACCCTGGATAAACAATTTATAAATTGTTTATAAATTGCTGAATTTAATATAGTAACTTGACAGTCTTTTTAGTATTTCAGTTAACAGATGCATCAGATTAAAACAAATATTTTCTTATTTTAAACTTGTTTTGCTTTAAACATGAAATGTAAATGACAACATAGTACAAGATGTCTTTGGATTTCTTAAGGCAATGAATAAACAATTAAGGTTTTCTCTCTCTTCTTGTTAAAAATGCTAACTTCTGCATAGCAGAAACAAAATTTATTAATTTACGCAAGATCAGAAAGCTTGTGCAGAAAATATTAATTTTTCTTTGTGCATCTTTTGCTGTTGTGTCTCAGTATAGGGGAGGTGTTGGGCTGGTAAATATTAAGAGCAAATTGGGAAATCTCAATTTTCCCATCTCTTTGGGAGAGAAAGAGATGCTGGGATTCCTCCTAGGTCTGAAGTGACTAACAGAAATGTCTCTTCTGGCCTCTTTTTGGCTCAGTGAGAAGTCAGTTTCTGACCAATTTCCTATTGTCAGACTATGGTTCATGTGGCCAGGTTGTAATACTTGTCAAATACCAGAACAGAGGTTGTTAGTCAGGATTCCTGCCTTTTTTGGAGACAAACTACTGTGCATCTGACCCTTTTTCCTTTAGAGGGTGAGGACATGCAGGCATTTCATATTTTCTCTCTGAACTGTTATTTGTAATTATTCTTGAGTCATGTGGTTTCTAGATCATGAACTCTCATGTTTGTGTCTATTGCACATATGGCTTACTGCCAAATG